CATGCCTAAGTGCCTTTGCACCTACTGTTGCAGCCTCAGTCTCCTCCTTCACCTGATAAACCACTATTTTAAAACCACCCAAAGACTTCTCTGCTCTTTTCAGTCTTCCTTGGTCATCTTTCCTCTCCATTCCAAGCAGATGGATCACGCCCACCTTGCTGCATTTACTGTGGTTTGTATATCCCTTGATTACTGCTTTTAGCATGCTGGGCTGCAGTTGTTTTGGTTTCAGTGGTTTTCTCCTTATTCTAGTAAACCTATTAAGAAAATGGGCTCTGGAGCCAGATAACTAGTTTCAAGGCCTGGCCTTTCCATTTATTAGCTATGTGATCATGAGGAAGTTACTTAACCTCTGTAAACTTTGTAAAATGGAAATGATAGTGCCCACATCAGAGAGTTGCTGACAGAACTGAGTGAAATAATATGTGAAGGGTTTAGAACAGTACGTGACACACAATAGGTGCTCAAAAAATACTATCACTTTTATACTAAAGTACCAAGTCCAGCATGTGTCAGACAGGACGTACTAACTGTTTGCTAAAGAAATTAACATGTGTTTTAAGACTACAAAATATTTGGGAAAGAATAATTATTTGTTTTGTTTGTAGTGGCTTTGCAAAATATCTACAGTTGCTGTACTATTCTGATAATAGATATATATATGTGTATGTATATGTGCAATATTAAGTTACAATTGTGAGAAATGCTATGAACAACTTTCACAGGATAGGATTCAAGTGTGCAGTACAGATGTATATGTAACTATTCATTTAATGTTTGTCTCATCCATTTGAATGTAAATGCCCTCAGGGTAGGGTTTGAACTTGTGCTATTTATTGCTATATGCCTAGGCATATTACACAGTTTATGATACATAAAAGGTATCTGATAAATATCGGTTAAGTGAATGATCAGATGGAAAACGAACCATGATTACACAATTAGTAAGTACCTTTACTATTCCTTTCTACTTGGAATGCCCTCTTCCACCATCATGACTACATATCAAAATTCTATTTGATCTTCACAACTCAGCTGAGATACCCTTCCACGAAGCCTGGCACCCCTTTTCTTAACTCTTATGGTAATTCATGGGTACTTAAGGGACTCAACACTTTTTATCTGGTGTTAGAGTGATTTGTGTGTCCATTTGAAAATTCCCGGTGGGCAGAATTCCATGTAAGTATCCTCAGGGATTCTCCTGATTTATTCATTTTAGTATTTGAACCAATGCTTGGCAAGCTGCATGACCCTCACATTAGACCAAATCCAAACATGATGACTACCAGCGTTGGGAAAAATCAACTTTGTTCATGGCAACAAAAGACAGAAAGGTACCATTTGGGCAAGGGGTAATGCAGTCTCTATTCCAAAGTGATGGTGTCACAAAGAAGTTGAAGTGTACCTTCAGGTCCTTATCCTGTGCCTAGGACCATGCCTAGAACATAGTAGGGGCTCAATAAAATATGAGTGAAGTGAACAAACTAATAAGTGAATAGAAACACAGGCAAATCTCTATGAAAATAACTACTAAATATGGGACAGTTTTTTACAAGCATACCCGCTCATTTGAGTGATAAAACAGCAAAGCCTTTGATTTGCTGATATACAAAGATACTGACTATCTAGAAGGATGCTCTTACAGCTCCAGTGATGGAACTAATTTTTAGGACTTCATGAGAGAGCTTTTTCTTAGTCATTCATTCAATAAATATTTAGGGTACATTGGCCGGCACTTACGCTAAAGATGTGGGAAATTCTGCATTGCTGTTTTATACTCAAGGCTCTTGGGTCAAGAAGATGAACCTGCCTGAGAATCCAGATTTGATCTCCACCTCAACATTGCAGGGCATGATCTGTTATGTGAAATCAAATACTGAAACTTCAAGAGTCTATAATTTGTCTTCCTTCTTTCTACAGACTGTTTTGGGCAGTACACTATCCAGGTAACAGGTGCTTTAAGTTTCCCCTCTCTAATGTATATTTTAGGCTGTATGTGGAGGTTCTCTGGGGAAGACTGTATTATAGCTTGAGATTTTATGTCGGGTTTATTATTAGTACACGGAACTGCACTGACTGAAAAACCAGTTGTGATCTACGGCTTATTGCACACGTGAGAGATGGTCCAGACCATCTAGGTGGCTCTGTATTCTAATGATGTGTTAGTAATCCACACTCACAGGAGATGCACAGACAGCTTGTGAAGTTTTCAGGTCAGTGTTTCTAAGGTCAGCTACATCAATGTATGTCTATACTTCCTACATACAATTCATTTCCAAGCACTTTATTTTAAAAGATAACCAGGCCTATTCTAAAGGAGGCAACTGATTGAGTCAATATAGTTTTTCATTTCCTTAACACGCTTAATGCATCATTGTAAAGATGTGTGTTTTAAGGATTTATTTGGATATCCTAAATAATGAAGGGCATCATTAGCCAAGAACGCCACATATTCATGTGTGTGTGTGTGTGTGTGTGTGTATGAAGTACATATCACTGGGCTTAAAAAGTACATAAAATATGGAATAAATGAAGTCCTTTTCCTGAGATCTAAATTATATATTCTAACAATGAAATAAATTGAGGCTCAATTTAAATAGAATTATTCTCAACTGATAGTAATATTTTAATAATGTCTATGTTTTCTAAAAGCAGTCCTTGTAAAATTATGATGACATAATGATACATTTAATGCAAGACTTGGAAGAAATTTGAGAGGAGTTGAGAGTCTGGCAAGTTCCTAATACCTGCTGAAAAAAGACTTAGAGCAGTCAAAATGAAGCAAACCTGAATAAAACTTGAATACATCTATGTGAATGCCCATGTGTGTGGTGTGTGTGTGTGTGTATGAAGTACATATCACTGGGCTTAAAAAGTACATAAAATATGGAATAAATGAAGTCCTTTTCCTGAGATCTAAATTATATATTCTAACAATGAAATAAATTGAGGCTCAATTTAAATAGAATTATTCTCAACTGATAGTAATATTTTAATAATGTCTATGTTTTCTAAAAGCAGTCCTTGTAAAATTATGATGACATAATGATACATTTAATGCAAGACTTGGAAGAAATTTGAGAGGAGTTGAGAGTCTGGCAAGTTCCTAATACCTGCTGAAAAAAGACTTAGAGCAGTCAAAATGAAGCAAACCTGAATAAAACTTGAATACATCTATGTGAATGCCTGCAGTATGGGGAAACAGACACGAGAACAGAAGAGTAGCCCATGGACTATGGGAATTGAATCCAAGGCTACTTTTTCCCATAAAGGTCTATCTCCTGCACTAACACACTACCACTCCCACCATCACCCCATGGCGATGCTTTAGTCAAGATTTATTGTTATCTCCAGATGTATCTGAACAGAAATAATTTTATGAGGTCAGTATAGACAAAGCTGGTGATGAAAACTGCCATGTAGTAACTAGAAATGCTGGAACTGGAGACTCTCATTAGTTGATTTCATTCATTCCTCACATGTCCACCAAGCACTCTTTGCTTTGCCAAACACTGTGTTAGACCCTAGGAATAGATGCTGCCTATATTCAAAGAGTTTGAGACAGGAAGATAAGAAAACAAACAGATATCAGTTCCCTTCTCCAACTTACTTTCCTTTCCTCCTTAGCTCCAAGAAGTTACAATATAATTAGAGAGACAGAAAAGAAAATACTTACAATAAAATATGTTGGGTGATAAATCAGCGGTGCATGCAAGGAACCGAGACAGAAGAAAATAATTCTGCCTAGCCAGAGAAAGCTCTACGAAGGAGGAGACACATGAGCTTCACAAGGGGTATCATAATCTTCTTGTTAAAACAAAGGAGGAAGAGTTTAATAAAGATAGGAGAAGCAAACTATACACAGCAGATTCCAGTTCAGAGCAGAATAATTATAATTTAATCTGATTTAAAAAGCTTCCCACCGTTAGTGTTTTAAATCCTTGCAAAAATTATATGTTTTATGTCTTTAACAATTAAGATCAACTTACAGAGATCCAATTAGAGAACAGTATTCAATGAGAAGAACTTTAAACATAGTACAGTCTTTGAAACAGGTGATTCCCAAGTTACAGAGAAAAATATGGCATCTGACTTGAGCCACTTGAAAATAACTTGAATTTCAAAGAAGATTGAATCCAACTATTTCTATGTCAGAAATAATGTTTTTCTTAAGGAATTCCAAATAATTTTTTGCAGGTCTTAATTTTTAAGAGTGTTCTCTTATTTCTAATAGATTATCTCAATCCTTCAAAATAGATCTATTTAAAGAAGCAAATATTTTTATATTCTTCCAAGTCCCATTTACCCCACCTCAGCCTATCAAATGTAGCCAGCCTGGTTCTTCTAGTTGGATAATTATAAGCACAAATATTATATCTGCAATGGAAAACACAATGGCACTGACTCAATTAATTGATTTTATATATCTGTGCACTTTTTTTTTTTTTTTTTTTTACAAATTTCTAAGCCATTTTTACAAATCTCTAAGTAGTACGTTACTACTAAAGGAACAATCACTTTTCAAGAGAGGTTTTATGGTAGATTTTACTTGGATAAGCAAAGAATCCAAACGTAAGAACTAACTTTTGGCTTCCTGATCTATGTATCAAACCCACTGCAAAAGATATTCAAGCCATTCTAAGTACTTTGGGGGAACCAACCAGGAAACATGCACTGTAAGCTGTTTCAAATATTAATAAGAAGAATATCAATCTTGTGCCCTTTCTTTAGTACATGTTACTATTAGAACCTACTATCTTCAGTGGGATAAGGTTGCTTGGACCACTGTTTACTCCTTCTCACTGATCAATATTTGACCATATTAATAATTCAGATTTCACACAGAGCAAAAAGAGACATGTTTATCCCAAACAAGAACTACAGAGAAGATACCACATCTTTAAATACATAGAATACATGCCATTTATCTATAGCTATAAAGGAAAAAGTAGGAGAAAAAGAAAAGAATCCCTAGGAAAATAAAAGGAAATTTTCCTTACCGGTATAAATGCATGTTGCATAGCTTGTTCACATTGTTTTAAGGAAGCAATAGTATCCCACAGAAGCTGATAATTTTCAGCCCGGGAAGCACTTTGCCGCTGCATGGCGAAAGCTAGTAACACTCAAACTGAGCTCAAAGAACCCAGTGGAAGGAGGAAAAAAAAAAAACCCTGCAGATCTGTTACATAAACTTCTTAATTAGATCTGCTACACAAACTGCTATCTTAAGACTTAAAAAAAAAATGTTAATCAGAACATTTCTTTTGGGGGATAACTGGGCATGACTTGAACAGAGACAGATGTTTTCATTGGGAAGGATTTTCGTTCCCACACTTGTGAAAAGCAATCCCATCAGTGTTCCCCTGTCTTTACATGGGTCTGGCGAAACTGCACATACCATAAGTGTGTGGGGGGAAAGAAGTAGGAGGGAGAGAGATGTAAAAAAATATTTCCACCAGAAGATCTGGGTGGCAGGCCATGGAGGTAGAATTTGAGCAGCTTGTGAAAAGTAGTCAAATTGAAGGGGTGGGTTACATATGCACATATATGTACATAGGCAGGTGTGTACACTTGTCAGCTCTGTGTGAAACACATGCGTCCTCACAGTGTCATTTAATATATCCAACTCTCCTCTCAGTTTAGTTATGATCTAGATGTGATATATTTTCTATCTACAGAGTATTACTGCCTTTATTAACTACAGAGTTATTTACCTGGGATTATTTCTAAAGACTAGCCAGAAAGTTCGTGAGCATAAAATGCAGTCAAATATTTATCTTAAAATTTAAGAGTAATTAGAAGGTCTTTTGTTGTCATATATTAGGTAAGAGTCACATTTATTTCTTCTTCTAGGTAGAATTTACAGAAATAATGTCAGGAGAATTGAACCTTCACATATTCTTTGGACCTGAGAGTGGGTTACACATAACTGGAACGTGTTAATCCCAGAGAAATTGCTTGCACACTTTAACAAAAAAGGTATAAGCACTAAATAAAATCTGAACAACAGAATATAGCAACACATTCTGAGTGTTCCTTAACTTACTAGAGCCTACAAGATAAGGCTCTACTAACCTCCTCCCTCCCCGCTGCCCCACAGACTCTGTGGGATCCTTGAGGCAGGTGGTAATGCACCTTGTAAGGTGCTGAGCACTTTGAAGTTCCAAAGGAATCTATGCTCTCAGGGCTAGTTACACAGCCAACAATGGGGATATTTATTCAAGTACTTCTAGAGGTAAGGGGTAAACTGAGGGCAACACACAGCATAATGAATAAATTGTGCTTTTAATTGACCTAGAAAATCCAAGGAGTGTAAAACAAGGTACAGACTGTAGGAAACAGTGTGATAACATAAATGAAGGATTTTTGCTGTATTATTTTTAGAAGAGCTTCATGATTTGGGTTACCTAGTTTTTCTGCATTTGTACCCTGGTGATGGTGGATTAGTTCACACTAATGACTTGGTGGCGTGAAAGTCTCAAAGGCAAAGTTCTCCCCTTGTCTCAATTACTTTTCAATTTGGAATTGAAGGAATTGCAAGTAGGATTGATCTTTCAAAATTTCTACCTGGGCTGATTTGTAAGGAGGTTGTTTTTCCTTAATATTTCATGAGTACACACCATAAGGTTATTGCCATTAGACAGTTTATTTTTCAATATCAATTCAACCAACCTTCTCTTTTTCTCATTCATGGTGTTCTGTTCAACTCACACCCACAGTCCCTCCTCTGCCTTCATTCCTGCCCTTATACTCTTCCATCTGCCCCAGCCACATGCTTCTTCCTCATGCACTGTCAACCAGCCGGCCCACAACTCCCAGAAAATATTCCTTCATTAGTAGATGTTCCGTATTTATCAAACAACAGGAAAATAAAAGTTGTTTTCTAAGTTACCCTCCAATATTCGAATCTATTCTTTCTGAATTCCTTGAGCAAATGTTCATCATTATTCCAGACCCCAACCTCTGGGTTTTCTGTCATGCCTTGGACTGCTTCTATCTCTTGTTCATCAGATCCCTTCTGCTTTTCATTTAAGCAGCGTCTTTTAAAAGATCCTTCTTTCCTACTCTTTCACAAAAGGGTAGAGAATCCACAGTCTCTACATGTAGAACCTCTACATAAAAAATGCCCTTGGAGTCATGCATTCATTCGTTTATTTATTGGTCCAACAAGCATATCAAGCATCTCCCATGTGCTATACTTTTTCATTGTGTTACGGGCAAATGGATATCAGATGTTGATTTTGTCTTTAAGGAACTTAGAGTTTAACTGAAGGGATGATACATGGGCACAAATAACAAAAAGACAAGTTGAAAAAGGATAAGTGCCATAAAAGGGGTAGTATAAACTATTCACAAAACAATGAAAAAGAAAAATTACATTAACTGGGAAAATTAGGGCAGCTTCCAGAAGATTTAGCACTTAGCTAGAGCTTGAAGTTAGGGTAAAATTTGGACATGCAGAGATAGATAGGGGATATTCCTGAGTAAGAAAAGGTAGAACAAAGGCACAGAGTGGGAAAGATCGTTACTGGTGTTTTGGAAAGAACATGACACCAAGAAAGCTTAATACTCAAGATTGTTACTGGAGCCAAGTAACAATTATTGAATAAAATTATTACTCTTGAATAAAAAGTCCGTAGCTTCCTATTCCTAATGCTAATCAATCTTAGCTTTAACTAATTCTTAGAGCATCAGTGTGCATAAATTCAGGGAAACTAAACCTCATGAGATAGTAAATTTCATATATTTATTCCTCACTCTTTAAAATAGGAACATTGATATACTTTTGGAGGCTTTAGGTGGCTCAATCATTTAGGCCATCTTGCTTAATTATTTAGTTTTTATTAGGTGCATATAGCGTGTTTTGCACTCATGCCCCATCACTTCTATAAGTTCTAAAGTCTATTACCTTTGGTATTCAAATGGAGTCCACCACGAGTCTTACCTGATCTAATATTTGACATAATTCAATTTTGCTCAGTTTAACAAACATTTATTGAGCTCTACTATGTGCTAAGCACTGTGCTAGAAACACACAGTACAAAGATAAATATTATATAATTTCAATTCTCTGCTTCTTTTCAAGAACCACTCAGTGTGCATTTGCCTCAGCCCGCAAAGTAGAACGTTGCACGTATTTTTTTTTTCCTGCTAGCACAATGTCTGATATGTAATGGCTACCATTTTTCTGTTAAACCCTTAGTCACTAGGCCATATGTCCATCATATCTAAATATACCGCCATGCTCTAAATTAGATTACAGGCCTCAGAGTGTCTGAAAGTACCTTTTATATGGTTGGTACTATTGCCATGCTGAAAAGGTCTGCATTTGAATGCTTTCTGCTAGTGATTGGTTTAAATATAACTTCACGACAATAAAAATGGAGTAACAGGGCTTAGATTTACATTCCTATCTGGAAAAAAAGAACTGAACAAAATATATGAAACAATAAGTTTCAAAAATGGACATCAGAGAACAAAAAGTAGTGAACTCTAAGAGACAGGAAACAAACAAGATAAGTCTTATGATTGCCCCATCTACAACCTTGAATGTCTAGGCCACATTACAGGAGAGTGGATCCAGTTGGAACCCAGTGGACTTGATGAATTGAGGATATAAAATTGGTTTTCTGGAGAAACCAAAGCAACACGGAGAAATAGAGAAATTCATGATTATAGTTGGTGATTTTATTATCCTACTCTGAATAATTAATAGTATAAGCAGGCAAAGTCTATAAGGATATAGCAAACCTTTACAAAACCATCCATCGAATTAGGCTAATATACCTTTAAAAAACATTTCACCCTACAACGGCATTCTTTTCAAGTGCTCAGGGAACATTTACCAAGGTAGAACATATTCTGAGCCATAAGTCAAATTTTAATACATTTAAAGGGATTCAGGTCAAAGAAAATATATTCTCTGATCATAGTAAAATTAAGTTAGAAATCAACAATAGAACAATTTCTGAAAATTCCCAAAATATTTTACAACTAAATAACACACTTTTAAATAACCCATTGGTCAAAGAAGAAATCAAAAGTAAGTTAGAACGCATTTTGAACTGAATGAAATAAAGCCACAACATCTCAACATTTGTTAGATGTCTTTAAAGCAGTAGTTAAGGGAACATATATATCACTAAACACCTATATTTGAAAAGAAAGTAGGTCTCAAATTAATGATCTCAGCTTGCACCTTATTAAAATAAAAAAATATAGCAAATTAAAATCAAACAAAGCAGAAAAGTTAAAAGATTAGAAGGGAAAATAGAGGAAATAAATAAAACTAACAGCTAGTTTTTTTGAGAATATCAATAAAATTGATAACCCTCTAGCGAGACTAGTGAGGAAAGAGAGAAGAAATAAATTATCAAAATCAGAAATAAGAGAGGTTGCGTCACTACAGATTCTGCAGCCATTAACGGGCTAATAAGGAAATCTCAAAAACCACTTTATGCCAATAAATTTGACACTGTATATGGAACAAATTCCTTGAGAGATGTAAACTACCAAAGGTCACTCAAGAAAAATAAGTACCCTAAATAGCCATACCATGTATCTATTAAAGATATAGAATTTTTAATTAAAAACCTAACCACCAAGAAACTCCAGGCCCAGATGCCTTCTGATGAATTTTTATTTAAGGAAAAAAAAATAATTCTATACAAATTCTTTCAGAGACCTGAAGAGGAAAAAATACTTCACAACTTGTTTTTTGAGGACAGCATTAACCTGGTACCAAACCAGATGAAGATATTACAAGAAAAGCAAATATTCATATGCCCTCATTAGTATATACGAAAAAAGTTCTAAACAAATTTTAGCAAATTGAATCCACCAATATATAAAGGGGGTAACGCATCATAATCAAGTAGGTTTAACCTTTGAAAATGACTTAATATAATTCAACATATTACAAACATTTAAAGAAAATAACCAAACAACTAACCAACCATATGGTCAATAGGCACAGAGAAAACATTTTGCAAAATCCAGTATCAATTCCTGGATAAGAAAAAAAAAAATCTCAGGACAAGATAAGGATGTCCCTTTTCACCACTTCTGTTCAGCATTGTCTAGAAGGTTCTAGACAGTTAACAAGTCAAGAAAAAGACATAGATATTGGA